GGAAGTCGCCACAGCCTGAACCTCTGGACTACTCCATCTTGTTCTCTCTCGCCAAACTGGTTTTTTAAGTGCAAGCATCCATTTATTGATAAACCAATTGTAATAACTGAGCACATTGAACCAAGTGCAAGGCTACTAGGCCTGGGTTCAAAACTATATCCCAGCAATGTGCAGCGCATGCTTAACAAAAATCTTACTCGATTCAAGGCGCCAAAATCAAGTAAGCAAAAGAAAGACTCTGCTGGCTCCAGGGTGCCAACAAGCCTTATTCTCATGTTAACCACTTGTTAAAATAATAAATTAAATACATATTCAACAGTCTTCTTACCAGTCTTTGATACTGCTATGATTTATGGCTACTCAGTTATGGCGCTGTTCCACTCTTGCTCTTGCCAAAGGTGCACATATTGAGGCGTAACTGTTGAAGATGGAAAAAAAGTTGACACCAAACTTAAATAAATTGTTGTATAATTTATTCCTCTCCTAGCCTCCCACGAAGGCGTTTTTAAGTGGGCTTGTTTTTCGTCCCTCCCCACTATATAAAGAGGTCAATTGGTGAGTAAAGTTGAAAATATGGTTGAATTTAGGAACAAGTACAGTTGAGACCAACAAATACTGTAAATCCGAACTGAATGGTGTTTGTTGTTTATGAACTACCAATGCCCCGCTATACGAGGCTTTTAACAAAATGTTTGGCCCAGGGAGCCAGAGTTAAATTCCCCACCAAGTCGCCGGGGGCCGGAGTTTCAAAAATCCCAACAGATCACCCGCAGTCAGAGGCCTGACTACTAAGCATACAAATAAAATATTTGCTACATGATACTTTAAATTATAAAAATTTTATAAAGCCAATTTGCAAATAAAACCTTCAAACACCATTGGATACGCAAAGGGTTAAGACTCAAAGCACTGAGACTTGAAGAAAGGGGAGATTGAATTGTTCAAAGAGTTGCATATAAGCTTTTGATAACCTTTTCAGCTTATGGGGTGAGAGTGAGGATCTCACGAAATGTAAGGTAAACCATTACCACAAGCAGTTCTAAAACTTCTTAAAACGATACCTTCTACAGTTCCTGCTGTTTGATCCCCACCTATAATCGCTATTAACCTTACAAAATAGATGAAAAATGAGAGAAACAAAACCTAACCATGCCTTCCGCGCCATCTTTGGATAAAGCATTTTAGTTCCCAGTGCCCTAAATCGTCCAAAAACGCGCGGCCTCCTTGCTCATGAGTTTGCTGCCAAAATATAGACTTTTGTATCTTCCTGCGATTTTGTCGCTCAGACTCAGATCCACAAAAAAGACACAGAAATAGCTAGGGTAAGCTTTTTTAAAAGCGGGGTTGCTTTGACTTGGGATCCATACGACACAGGAGCTGATGCCACACGGACACCTATACACCGCACAACAATCAATTTTTGTGAATCTCTTTAAGACGAACACTCTGTCCTGTTGCACTTTGTAATCATCGTCGCACTTAGTAATACCTGTCTCGCTCTGTAATAGCACTTGTCACGCTTTGTAAGAAAAAAGAAAAAGGCTGTCGCACTTTGTAATAAAATAAGCTGCCAAACTTTCTAATAACATTTGTCATACTTCGTAATAAATTTGAAATGGATGGTTGGAGGACAAGTAAAGCCAATAGTAAGTATAATCACTGACTACAACGACAATAATAACAACAACAACAACAAAAATAATGATAATAATAATAATGATGATGATGATAATGATGATGATAGTAATAATAATTTCCTCAATTTCTCAAGTGGGGGCGGTGGAAAGTGTTCAAATCAACTGTTGCCTTCCGGCTTCAACATCTTTGTAGGGAAGCACAACTCTTTCTATGCGGACGACGTCGAGACCATGGCCTTAAACCAATCACATATAACTTGAGCATTTCAGAGTTTTTCAAGTTCATTAATGCAGGAAAGTCAGTATAAGAAAAGAGTAAATTGGTATCATCAGCAAGTAAAACTAGGTCATAGATATTTGAAATCTGACACAAATCATTGATATAAATTAAACAGAATAAGGGACCGAGGGCAAACCCCTGGGGAACTCAACACAAGATTTCACGAAATGAAGACGAGATACCGTTAAATTATACTATTATTGTTGTTGTTGTTGACAATGATGATACTTATCATTGGGTTAACTTGTCCTCCGACTATCCATTTCAAGTTTATTTCAAAGTTCGACAAGTGTTATTACATAATGCGACAATTTTATTACAAAGTGCGACAGAAGAGAGGCCAGGGTAAATAACGGAATTATTATTATATTTAGACCGCGAGCGGTCGTCCTTCTTTCCTCAGAGCCATGCACGCGCCATCTTGTCCTGATTACCAGCATGCCATCACAACTGTAAAGGGTCTATTGTGTAAACACGTCAAATTTCGAAACGCACAAAAGTATAGCTTGTTGCAAAAGGTAGCTGGCCCTAATTAAGAAGAATATTTAGATGCATAAGATTTTGTTCTTTGGCGAGGAATGCCCGATAAAGAGGAAAAGAAGAAAGAGGTGGATCACTTTTGTCAGGTGTTGGAGAGGAGAAAGATGTGGGAGCCGGGGAAGACGTTTCATTTCATTTCGTTCATTTCGTTTCATTTCAAAATACAGGCACAACAATAAAGATATAATGTTTAAATTTGGATGCGAATTTTTCGTTATTTTCCTCTCTTCATAGATATAAATGCAGGCCATATTTTGGGATTTAACTGCACATGCTCTTTCTCTCTTTTCTTATGGTTGAGTTGGTTCGGATTGTAAGATTTTGTGGTTTCTCGTTCTAAATATGTATGGAATTCGGTTTAGCTAGAAAAAAGCTATTCTAGTCATATAAAAGAGAAAACCGTCGGTTTAAAAATAAAGAAGTAAGAAATAGATTAATTTGAAGACGAAGGAAACAGGTCGCTGCCTCAAGCAATTGACTGGTTTCAATGTGTTATTTGCCAGAAGGAAACAACTGAAAACCCTCAGTGTTCTATTAACTGGAAAAGGCTCTACTCTTGCATGTGCTGGATACCTTATTTTTGAACAACACTTAACTTCATTTTATAAGACGGGAAAATTAAATTTAGTAGTTGACTGCAGGGGGAATGTTTTGACATGGAAATGGAATTCAGCTTCCATATTATCAAGTCGTTTGCTATGTGGCAAAAATCTCGCCGCGATGCGTTCAACAGGACAAAACCGGATCGCATGATGAAAATAAAATTCCTGTAACTAATCCACAGCATCAAACGTACCTGGTTAAGAATGCGTCTGTTTGCAAGGAGAAGAAGCAGAGATTAAAATGATAGCCTACGTGTAGCTGATGGGGTAGAAAATTTTCACTAGTCAACCATGATTCGAAATTTAGCGCTTTTTTCGCTTCGTTTTCTCCCCCATCTTGGAGCCTGACACGGGCTTATGGTATTTATACTTGAAGGAATTTTGAGTGTCCTATGGGACAGGAAATATCCTACCCACACTCTTTCCAAAAGCCTTTGGTCCATCTAACTCGACGTTTCTCCTTGTCTTCCATGCCCTAACAGTGTGTGATACAGCTTCCTTTTCGGCGGTGGTCATAGAATTGCCATTAAAAGGAAGAATTGTTATTATTAAAATAATGACGAAAAATAAGGGTAACCGCGCTTGTCTTTGCGGTAGAGCTGCAGATAGTGCGCACCACCTACATTTCTAACTATTTTTGAGGGAGGATTGGGGCGAGTTTCAAAGCGGCATGTACGTGGAAGGTGGAAGAAAGCAATGAAAAATTCGATTTTATGGAATTTAACGCAATTAACGCAATTAGGACATAGTGTGATAAAGATGAAGCTTAAATGTCATGAAAGTAGTGGTTCAGCACAACATCCACTATCGAAGGCCTCGGTGAGGAAGTTTAACTCAGCATGCGTACCGCTTACGAAAGGCACATTTCCAACACGTTGAGACTCATCTGAGCCAGAAAAAAACTGCTATGGAAAATTCCAATAACGTCTCCCTTCGATCGACGTCATTTTAATCATTTTTCTGCAGATCTTTTTCACGGCGGCCATCTTGTTATGCGCAGTGAGGGATGCACAGTGGCAAAACTCCGTAACGAAATGTGAAATCTATTAGGTAACAAAGCTATGTGCAAAAATATTAGTTGAATTAAATATAATAATCAAACAAAGTAAAGGCGCATTTTATTCAGTCGTTGTAGTTTTAGTTTTCCTTTGCCTACCGTTGCCATGGCAACGCATAGTTAAGGTTAAATGGCATGTTATAAACAAGGTATACGTGGTAAACAGATTGGATAACTGAGTGAAATGATGCTATGTCTTGATAAACTAGGACAAATAATTTAATGAATTGAATTCATTAAATTTATTATAAATTTTACTAAATTGTGGTTTCTATGGAAACCAACGTAATTCCGACTTGGCACTATATCTGAAAATGCCTGTATTGGTGACTACAGGGCTCCTGGTGACTACTATCAGTGTGCCAAATTTCATACTTGTATCTAATAGTGCACAATTCTCACTCTGAAAATTTCTAGCTAAGCCGCTGGACTAGCCTGACAGTATGTTCGGTGACTGCACGTGACGTGACACGTACGTTTCAAGATTACGTAACCGTCAAAATGACAGTCACGGAATCAGGATAGTAAACCAACGCAATAGACCTTTTCTTTTTTTCAACTTTTGACATGGACGTGTTCGCGAAAAGAGCGCCTTAAAATTAGTAAAATTGCCAAGTTTGAAAATGATTTGTTGAAAATTAATGAAGATACAGCTTTTCAAAGACGCGAAATTTTACAGACGCTTATATGGTAAGGGCACAAAGTTGCCCCCCACCATACAAACGTCTGTAAATGTTCGCAACTTTGCGGAGCTATATCTTCGCTCGCTAAAGACTTATCACTTTCAATTTGGCAGTTTTACAAATTTTAGGCTCGCTCTTTTTCGGTGGTGTCGACGGATTTACCCTGACTGGTCGATATAAAAATTGAAAAAACCGTGAAAAGTTCTATTGATCTCTATTCTTGGAAAGGTAACATTTCAAAATGCCGACAGTGTTTTGAAGAAGAAAAAATCAAACGTTCTATAGTTCTGGTACTCACTTTTTATCGAAAAAAAGGACTTTGACAATGGTAATTCACTAAGGATGACGGAACAGGAAGATATTTCGCCTTGTTACATAACGAAACGAGGAAACTTGGAGCCGTTAAATATAATTTATTTAGGTCACCGTTCGCTATATTTACCTGACTTCGATGCTTTCGTTTGGAGGCTGCCTTCAGGAAACCAAGCCAATTCTCAGGTATGTTTTAGATGAATGTCTAAATGTATGATCAAATGAGGACTGAGAAATAATGCGGCAGAAAACAACTACTAAATTAAAGTTTATGTCAACCGTAAAAACCTGTCAAACGGCGTTTTTGAATTATGTCGCAGTTCAACGAGTTCTCGATATTGCTTTGACAGTATCTTCTAGTGAAAGAAGAAGAGTTGCCTTGCGGCTTTGTTTGCGAACGCGAGGAGAGTTGATGTCTGATGTTATCAAATTTCGAGTTCGAAAGAAGACCACATTGAAGACCAAATTAGACCACCTTTCTCTTTTCAAAACTAAAAGGTTTTTTGCTAGAACAATTTACGTTACATTACTTATCTACCTAAAAGCTATCTGTGAACAAAAACTGAGGGAAAAAATATGCGGTGCCAACTTTCCTCACTTGCAGCCAATGGCTGAATTGCGGAGGAACCAGAGAGGTGAGATCGGACGTCAGCATGCAAAGGCGCACTCTTGCAGCCTGATTCAGTCCATGTTTTGATCACACCTCGCCCACCCAGACCGATGACGGCACAAGTCAGATAGACCATGACATCGGGGCCTACGAAAAATCGGGGCCAAATTCGGTTTTTCAGCTCTTGCCACTCGATGCTCGACATTTTCCTGACTGTTTGAAGCATTTACAGAGTAGTTTTCACGGCAAATGCTTAATTCAAACGGTCAATGGCATATATCCTGCTTATTCACTTTGGTCGGTTTCTTGAGGCTCTGTCAAAATTATTTATGGTAATATTTATAATAAAGAAAATAACAATTGAATGAACTTCAGACGAATTTAAAAGCCGTGCGGGAAAAAGTAGTTGGATGAACTTCGACGGTTTCTTCTCTAAAGTCCCTTGACGCAACATTGGCCTGAGATGGATTATCTAAGGCTTCGAGAATGTATATCTATTTTGTACCAAAATATCTTAACTGTGTTTTGATTAATCGGCGTCTTTCAACGATTCTGGTTCAGTAATTTTTAATAATTTACATGCAAATGCATTTCCTTTTAACAAAGTCATCGATATTTTGGACAATTCAAAACGCAAACAAAGCAATATTTTGGCCTGCTGGGCGTATATATTATATTTATATAAATATATATGCTTACGCAGGCACAAGACTGAAGTTTAACCGGACACTTGTCTTCTTTCCAGATCTGTTGAGGATGATATCAGCTTCCCAACTCTGTTTTGCGTTGCTTCTAGTCGCGCAACTAGCCCACAGTTCATCTCACCACAATGGCACGGAGGGTGAGCATTCCGTCGGCGAGGGCTTGAGCAGTGATACAAAATGTAGCTGGAACTGTAGAGTTATCGAGTCTGATTTCACCAAACAATGTGATCCTGTATTTACAAAAAAGAGATTCATCAACTTTTCTGCCGAGTACCCTGTGATGATGGACAAAAAATGCCTCAAGAAAGTCGCCATTGGCTCTGTCAGTGCGTATCTTTATGTATGGCGACCAGCAAACGGCACAGTTTCTTCTTTTTCTCGCGGAATCAAAAGCGTGTGGAATTTGATCTTCGGAAAACGTTGTATCGAGAAAGGCAAAATGAAAGTATTTTGCAGCTTAAATTCCACCAGGACAGCGGTTCCAGACAACCAAGTAGCTCAAGAAGTGAATAAAAGGGTCGAAGAGATGGGTTTAACATTTATTACAGATAAAGAACAACCAGGGCCATTGTTAACTGACATCGCTGCTATTTTTGTTGGCATTCTTCAAGGTTCTTGTACATATTATCTCCCTGCTTTACTTTGCATTTTTTCTCCTACAGTAGGCAGGAAAAATGGCATTCTATATATTCTCCTTCAAGGTGCAGGTCCTGCTAGCCTTCGAGGTTTCTTGGGGAACAAATTATTCACCATGGATCGCTCTTTCTTGCATTTTACCAGCCGTTGCCATAAAGCAAAAATGTTATTTTTCCGTGTCGTGTTCATGGTGATTCCTTTCCTTCTCCTGGCACCTGCACTGTTTGTTGCAAATATGACACCTTTTAAATTGCCTTACTGTCATTTTAACTTGACTCATCCCTTTGTAGTAGTATGCATTATCTGCTACTTCCTTCGTGTGGTAAGTTCTTCTTTATTTTTAATAATACCTCAGGAAGCTGCAGAGGAAAGGCTATGTCATTTTTGCCGGCAGTTGAGTTCTAATCCGCGTTCCTGTGCTGGTATATTACCTCGGCGAATCATAAGTCATATGCGCTTGCAGCCGCTAATTGTTGTTGAATGTTTAAAGTCTTTTGTTCGAGGACTTAAAAAGTATTTTAGGATCATTATTGGAATTTGGAAAGGTTCAGACTCTTGGGTTATCTGTGTTCCTTCGGTGACAATTCTCCTTTTGGTTGTTCCGTTTGCCATTGCTTTGTTACTCCTAGCATACCTTGCAAAATGTCTCTCTTTCCTTTTTTATACTTCTCCCTTGAGTATTGCTTTTGATGACAATTTCTTTTACATCAGCCCAGTGAGGTTTCGGGATCAGTTTAAAGGTTGCATATCAAATTTGGACATCAGAGGCATTGTGAGACATCTCTGTTTGATGGTCGGGCTCTTTCTAGTCGTATTAGGAGCAATATTTCTCAGCCTGTTTGTAGGTCTTGGAGTTCTGTTTACCTTCTTTCTGGCCTTTACTATGATTCTTCTGTTTCCCGAACAGAGTATTCCAATTGTGGCTTGTATTCTTCTTATCTTTTACTACCTCTTGAGTATCTACAACTCCTTTGCCAATAAATACCACGATCTCTCCCTGATAATTTTTGACTTCTACAAAAGCGAAAAGGATCAAATCTCCAGTGAGGAGATGTGCACCGAAGGGTCAACTAACTCTAGTGACGACAGAGACATTGTCCTAAAAATTCCTAAAGATCTTTTCGATATGGCGTGTGAGGAACTTTGGCCAGTCAAAGAAGCTGTCTGTTTACTACTTCTGAAAGTCATTCTGATTTCTACTTTTATTTTTCTGATATTCTACTTATCAATGAAGCTTGATATTGACGTTAGGCCTCTCGCTAAAACTGTTCTGGCGTTTGCGACGGGATTGATTCCTAAGATCTTCCTAGCTTACTTTGAAGGAAACAGACGTAAGAGAATTGAGACCTTGGCTGTTAAAGAGACAGCTCCTAAAATAATTCAAAAGTACCTCAAGAGATTTAACGACGGGCAGAGTAATCTTGGCGCTGATCACCAAGAGGCAAGTTTAGCCATTCAGGGAAACGAGGAGAACATCGAGATTCACATCGATACGCAACATGACTCTTCAACTGACTCTTAACAAGGATATTCAAAAACAATTGTCAAACCAAATATATCTTGGTAGTTACTAATGAAACTGATCATAACTGAACATCTTAATACTAGTTAATCTACCTTCTGCTTCTCTCGGCCTAAGTAAAGGAACGTTGTTGCCAGCTGTATAACCATTTAATAAGTATATAGGTCTTTAGTAAAATCCAACTATAGTGGTCTATTATCAATGTTGCGTTCTGATTGGTTGAGCTACTACTAGGCTATATGTTATAGCCCACTAGTAGCGAAAAGCGCGGGCTTTTTGGCGGCAAAAAAGGATTAAAATCTAGCTTTAACTAGCTAATTTTTTTTTTTATTCTCGATATTTCTGACCAACTAGTTGGATTTTAGCCCTCATGGCCTCTGAGTCAATAGCCCATTCGGCCTTCGGCCTCACGGGCTATTGACTCGGAGCCATTCGGGCTCGAGGAATAATTGTTAAGTATACGCACTCGGTGTCTTAGGCCTAGGCCATACGTCCAACTTTTCTTGAGACGAACCTTAACTTAGTGAGTTAAGCTCATGAAAAGTTCGACGTCTGGCTCCATTAAATTCGCTTGAATAAGTTTGGGTCGTTCAAAACGTTCTATCGGTTTGCTTCGGACGGATAGAACGTCTGAAGATCGTCTCCAGGACAAACGTGTCGATCACCACATGCGGCAAACTAAACTAATAAATTAAAAATTTGTGCTGATAATGTATTATTTATTAGAATTGCGTTTTGGCCTGATTCAGTTCAGGGGATTGGTTCGAAGTGTCGCAAGTTCGACGTCTGACCCAACAGACGATCTTAACTTAATTTAGGTCGAACCAAATTAGAGTTTGGCTCATCTTATCAAAAGTTCTACGTTTGGCCTATAGGCTTACGTGTTTTCTTTTTCACCGCACCAGGCTAAAGATGATATATAGTTTCAGCTAAACCTAAAAGCGAAACTTCAGTTTGTATATCTTTTAATTTACTTTAACCAATACGGAGTTCTGAATCCATCAGGAAATAGAGTAACTTTAATTTTCAGTGGACAAAAAAGCTTGTACCCGAATAATTTGAAGCATATTGAATTCTTTTTTACACTTTTCAAGGGCTTTACACGTAAATAGATGTAACAAGTAATTTGAAATAACACCAAAGAACATTTCTTATGGGAGCCAGAGAAATTTAAATTCCAAATTTCAAATGAAATCTTACACATGAAATTTAACTGTAGTATTTGTATACTTGTAACAAGTCTATGGAAATTTGTAAAACTAGTGTAATTAAAAGAAATGTGTGTGAGTCGGGGTGTGGGGTATGCACATACTTGTGGGTTCTGTCTGTTAATCTGTATAGTTGTCTGTAAATGTGTTTAATAATAATAATAATAATAATAATAATAATAACTGCCAAATTATAGACGTGGCAATTCTGGATGATGGAAGGGTGAGAGCAAAAGAGGACGAGCTAGGAAGTAGAAAAATATCAAGATCTCGCGAGAGAAATTCGAAAGATGTGGGACATAAGGACAAAGGTGATACCCATAGTGGTGGGGGCATTGGGAACAATACCACTAAGGTTAAAAGAAAATCTGAGGACTACAAGTGTCGACACATCCATTGAACTAATTCAGAGATGTGCCCTTTTGGGGTCAGCGAGGATCCTTAGGAAAGTGTTGGAGATGTAGACCAGGGAGCAAAAGTAAACTGAAGGACGCTTCTTGTAATAGTCCGGAAGAAAAGCGTGAAATTGATCAAATTAGAGCTACAAGTACCAAATGTCATATATCTGATCCTTTTCAAGTAGGTAATGAAAAGAAATTAAGATGCACTTCGGATAATTCCCTGTTCAACAGTTATTGACCGATGCAAAGTCTCCATAGTTTTCTGAGATGCCACAGGACACCCAATTTGTGAAAAAAAAAAGAGTACACGGTTAAAGGAACCACTCAAAAGCTAATATTTCCCTGAGCCATTTTAGAGGTAACATATCACGCAAAAATGCTCTTGATATATACTCTTTTATATTCATTTTTAGCTTACAAAATGTTACTTGGAGGGTTTCTCACTCTTTATAGCTGTTCCCGATGCAGGCGCAACTACTTGTGTTGGGCTCATCAGTTGCAGGGGACTTTTCATGTGCAAAGCCGGAGACCTGGTTATGTAGTTGGCCTTCAGTACAGCATCTGCCCTTCCATGGGTTGTGATGCCTGCCTGGACGAATCTGTTATCCCATGTTCTTTAACCCGGTACAGCCATCTTCAGTAGTTAGTGAGGCCATCCTTATTCGGAACCCTCTTGATCAAAACATAGCTAGTCCCCTCTTGTATACACCTGTTCTCTCTCGCTGGGTCTGTGTAGCAAGGGCGTAAGCGGGCTGCACAATTCCAATTATTGATGTCTCCCCGAGATTAGGGACCTTTTTAGTACGAAAAAAAGACGGCAACTGCATCGTAAACGTCAAAAAACAATAGTTTATGATAAAAGAAACGCAACAATTCTGCTCGTCACGCTTTTTTTGTAAACTTCCTTGTTGTCCCTGACTGTACATCTACGATGTGAAATGATCAAAGTTTAAGTTTACTTGAAAACGGGAACGGCAAGGCAATATAATTTACTATTTCTGTCTAGTTGAACTCGTACGCGGTCCCTTCTCTTCAGCTACAACCTTTATAATTAAGTAACTGGGTGACTTGAAATAGTGGCCAGAGTTTGAAAGGTGCATCTAAGTCTATTTTTCAGCGACGTTTTTACTGCCATCGCCGTTGATGTACGCGTCGCGTCCTTTATAGATTTAACACAATGTTGGAAAATTTCTTTATTGCGTACATTTTCTTCCAAGAGGGTTAAAAGTGACTTGGTAGCAGTAGGTAAGAGAGAGGTCCCGCTGTAAAGGAGGTAAAACAAGCTGTCCATGGCAGGTATTCTTTCTCCTCCAGCTTTTTCCTCTCCAGCAGTTTTTAGACCTTGTTGGGCTACTAGTTCTAGCTCTTAATTCATATTTTCAGTCACTCAATCTGATGGTAGCGGTTCGTTTGCATTAAACCTTCGTATCAGAGTAATATTTTTTCGACTCTTGCTTCACTATGTGGCTGAATTAGGCGTAGGTAGATTAAACATAGTTTTCCTATTTCGTAGGTCAATAGTTTAAACTCGATTTCTGTCAAAAAGTGGAATTGTTAGCTGAGTCCTTTAAGCTATAAGGGATTTTGGGTTGAGGTCTTATATGTTGCATGACAATCGTGTTACATTAACCATCGTGCAAGCCCGTGAAAAAAAGTAGTCAGCCGACTGCAAATAAAATATCATCGAGAAAAAGCGATAATTTTTTGCTTTGAAACACCGAAATACAGTAAAATAGGTGATAGCTTGCTCATCAATCTTACTTGGAACCCCCGGAAAAAAGACTGGAGAGGCCACCCCCCAACCCCTCGGAAATTGCCTCCTTTTGGACCCCCTCCCCTCTGAAGTTCCGTTGCCCTCCGTAAAGGGGGGGGGGGGGGAGAGGGGGTATAGATATTTTCTGGAACTACACAATCTTGATTTTTACAGCAAATCTCCACTGAGTTTTTTTTTTTCAAATTTCAACGTGGAATACAGCAGTCCTTGAGAGACTAGCACTGGTGGCTCTCTAATCCTCAAGATTGTGTATGGCCAGTGTAGCATGAGGCTGAGGTTTCCTGTGACATTTCATGTCATGATATCTGATTTCAAGGTGCAAAAGCATTACTACAGCTTTCATTCTCATCGAAACATAAAAATATATTTATACGTTTCAAGATTCATTCCTTTATATTTTTAACCTTCCTTCGACATATTAAGTGTCATTGTCTGAGAAAGTGTTCCAGGGGCCAAAAGTTGTGGGCAACCGATTTGGCTGAAACTTGGCTCAGAAGTTGGGTGTGATCAGATATTTCAAAAGCCACTTTGGCTCACTTCTCTGACTTTTAGTTTTGAAGTTACAGGGGGAGTCTCATTTTTTGCCCTTTAAGCACCAAAAATCCAGCCTTCCAGGGGGCATTTTGAAAGTGTGATAAGACCCCACTGTTAAATTGTGCTGCCAAATAAATTTGACCATGAACTCTACTATAATAGAGCTTTCAGTTCATGCATGTAACTTTGTCCTCAAGGTATTGCACAGAGAGGAGCCTGGGGCTAGAGTTTGGTCAAAATTGATGTTAAAATTACAACCCAAAATAGCCATTTTTCAAAATTTCACTATATTCACCTGCCTTCTTGCATAACTTCCATACCTATACCACTGTTGACTTTAGTCACCCAATTATCAAAACCAGTTGAGAAAAATTTGGCTTATTATGGTTTATTGAATTTTTGGAACAAACACTTCATGCTCCTCTAAGGCGATGCAAAATGGAATTTTGAGCATAATTCAGGCCATAAACAAACCATGTTGTTGACAAGAAGCCCTAATTGTGTATTTGGTAAATGAAAATGAATTGTCAAAGCCAAATCAGTTCTTTGTTTAGAAATACACCGATTCTTACCTTTAACTTGATCTAAAACAGGCCTCTGATTAGCACAAAAAACACATGATTTAGCAAAACGAAGGTGATTTTATTCTTTGAAAACCTAGCAACCACCATGGGAACACAAATGATGATGTTTTGACATAGATATAACAACCTATTTACAAGATGCGTAAATTTTTCTTTGATTTATAGTCAGTTTCACGTCACATTTCTAAGCATTATTCCAAGCATGTGAAGTCTCCATATTTTGTCAGGCCCATTTTTTTTTATATTTTTACCAGATAAAGTTAGCTTATCAAACGGTTCGTTAAGATACATTCTTTGTCTGACCTTGTAGTAGCCTGAATAGTTGTTGTAAATACCCATCAGCAAAGGAGCATGACCATACTTACATAGATTATTTACAAACATATACGAGAATCAGTGAGCAGTATCGAGGTGAACTGTGATTTTCCGAGTCCTTTAGAGCTGAAAGAATGAAACCATCCATCCACAGTTAGAAGAGCTGGATAACAAAAAGCTTTTG